TCCATGGCTTGCACAGTGTACCCCTTGTCCTGTTGGATCAGAGGGAAAGTGCCCAAGTGTAGGTCGATCTGGGATCTATAAGAGTTTCCAGTGTCCTCCAAACCATTACAATGACCTTTCCTCCCTACTTCTCAACACCAATGATGATGCAATCCGCAGTCTTTTCACATCAAGGTCGGAGAATGAATTCCAAATCTCAACCCTCGCCATGTTCTTTGTCTTTGTATTCTGCCTTGGCATCATAACATATGGCATAGCTATACCCTCTGGGCTTTTCATTCCTGTCATTCTCGCTGGAGCTTCGTATGGACGGCTAGTGGGTAGACTTCTGGGACCAGTTTCTCAGCTTGATGTAGGTCTGTTTTCTCTGCTCGGAGCTGCTTCCTTCCTTGGAGGCACAATGAGAATGACGGTCTCTCTATGTGTCATTCTTCTCGAACTTACAAACAATCTCCTAATGCTGCCATTGGTGATGCTTGTACTCTTAATCTCAAAAACTGTTGCCGATTGTTTCAACAAAGGGGTCTATGACCAGATTGTGGAAATGAAAGGACTGCCTTACATGGAAGACCATGCAGAGCCCTACATGCGCAATTTGGTTGCAAAGGATGTTGTCGCTGGACCTTTGTTATCCTTTTCAAGAGTTGAGAAGGTTGGGGTAATATGGCATGCATTAAAGATGACAAGTCATAATGGCTTCCCTGTAATTGATGAGCCACCTTTCACCGAATCTTCTGAGCTATGTGGGATTGCCTTGAGATCTCATCTCCTTGTGCTTCTCCAAGGGAAGAGATTCTCGAAGCAGAAAACGACATTTGGTTCTCAAATTCTTAGAAATTGCAAAGCTCGTGACTTTGCGAAAGCAGGGTTAGGAAAAGGGCTCAAGATTGATGATTTGGTTATAAGTGATGAGGAGATGGAGATGTATGTTGATCTCCATCCCATCACTAACACATCTCCTTACACTGTGCTTGAGACTTTGTCTTTAGCTAAAGCGGCTATTCTTTTCCGACAACTTGGCCTTCGCCACTTGTGTGTGGTGCCTAAAACACCTGGGGTCAGACTCTCTATCTCTCTCTTTCTCTAGTTACTTTCTTACGTTTCTAACGCATGTCTTTTGTATCGCAGAGACCGCCTATTGTTGGGATACTTACAAGGCATGATTTCATGCCGGAACATGTCCTGGGGCTTTATCCTCACATTGATTCTCTCAAGTAGGGGTGACCAAATATCCAAACAAATACAATCCGGTAAAAGGTAAACCCAAACCATTGTGAACCCTACATAATAACTAAATGAATATTGTTCTGGTTACCTGAACCGAACCCGATCCAAATGGATATCCAAATGATTCAATTTTTAAAAAAAAAAACCTGAAATAAATGTATACCTAACGCAAACTCAATTCTAAGTAAGTATCTTAATAAGTATTTATATTTTATGTTTTGACACTTGAATTTAAAGTTTGATTACAATTCAATTTTCTTCAAAAAACTTTAAACTATTATATTTTTAAGTTTAAATGATATATCCTACTTTATAGAGTTAGTTGTTATTTTTAACTTGTTGTGTTTCTCTCTTCTTAACAATTACTTCTCAATCATGCCTTTGTAAATGTAAATTGTTTAAATTTTGGGGGAATTTCAAGTTTACCCTATTTGTTGTACCACAATTCATGTTTATCTTCATCAAATACTCATTTTCACAAGTATTTCTTTATTAAAGAGGCAAAATTCTTCAACCTTTACTTTATAGATATATAAATATATGTAATAATTTAAATAAATAATGAAAAAATAAAATAATTGTTAAATAGTTTTCAAATTATACCTTTTCAAATCCAAACTTTTTATTTACTTTTATTTTATTTTTCTATTGTTTTCTTATTTTTAAATTTTCTTTTAATAATTAGAAAAAAAATTGAAAATATTTTTAAAATTTAGTTTTTGTATATCTATTATATATTTATTAAATTCTAAATCCTAAATCTAGATTAGTTAACCATAGGATTATAAGTGTCTATTTAGCTCCTTAAAACTATAACAAATGTGGTTAAAGTATACATAAAAATGATATGAAAATGTGATAGTTTAAACAATTTCTCTTAAATGTTTCAAGTTTGTGAACGTCCATGCCTACTCTCAAATGAAATATGGTTAGCCCGTTTAGTCTTGTTGCCTGCATTGGGTATCAATTTTGGATATTCTTTTATCTAATTGAAGAAACTTTGATTTATTTTCCAGGTTATAAGGAATGAAGAGAAAACGTTCGTTAAAGTTCCTCATTTGTACTCGTTGTGATGAATATGTGCATATCAAATTTAAAACCCAAGATGATCATTTGATTGCTCTTATGCTCACAGTTTCAGTTATTTGTTTCAATTATTTTGTTGAGAAGAATATTGGGAATATTGTGCAATGAAGTGAGTTGGGTAATAAAGTTAAACCAAATTTTATATAAAAAACATATTAATATATTTAGTAAAAATTTTTATATGGAGCTAACATTTGTCCCTATTATCCCACACTATTCATTATTTCAATATTGAATATAAGTTTTATTCAAACAAACTCTTATAAAATATTTCCAATCTTTGAAAATAATTGATTAAATTCAAATAAATAATAAATATATTTTTTCATAAACTGTAATTAAATTTTTATAGAAAGAATAACCTCACTTTCATAAATAGAAACTGTAAATAACCTCTGTTAGTTACAATTACAAATAGCAATTTAGTTTGTTATAAGAGTTATTCTTGGGTTCACCTCCTAGGGTGAACCTCTAGATTCACCATCTAATAAAATTGCATCATTTTATATTTGATATCTTAAATAAATAAAAAATCTTGTTAAGTTATATTATGTTTTTAAAAATACAAAAAATAAAAAAAAATAATTAATAAAAACAAAAAATAATTCTTTTTTAAAAGAAAGATTTTAACACTAAACCCTAAAACTCTAGGTAATCATAAACCTTTGGATAAATTTTATAAAAAATTCTTAAAAAAAAATTCTTTTCACTAAAACAGTAAATCCTAAACTCTAATCCTAAATCCTAAACCCTAAACCTTTGGGTAAATCATAAACACTAAACCCTAAACCCTTGGGTAAATCATAAACACTAAATTTTTATAGATTTATCCAAGGTTTATGATTTATCTAGGGGTTGGGGTTTAGGATTAGAGTTTAGTATTAAAATATTTTCTTTAAAAAGAATTATTTTCATTTTTATTAATTATTATTTTTTAAATTTTTATTTTTAAAACATAATATAACTTAATAAGATTTTGTTTCCTTTTTAAAAATATATCAAATATGAAATATTGTAATCTTATTGAATGATGAATCTAGAGGTTCACCCTAGGGGGTAAACCTAAGAATAAATCTTGTTATAATAATTGTCAAGTTTTCCGTTTCCAGATGCTTGTGGTTACTTTTGGACAATTACTCCTTTGTGGAGATTTTCAATCTATATATTCTCTAGATTGGATAAGAGTGTTCCTTTTCAAGGAATCAGCTCTATGTTGGTATTTTAACCTTTCTCACTCATTTACTTGTGACATGAGTGAATTGTGTTTTGATCAGTGTTTTCACGCTCGGCTAGGATCTGTGGTCCAACTATCAAATCAGGTGATCTGATAAGTTATCCGGTTTGAATTTTAAAAAATATGCACTAATTAAAAATCTGATAAAATCCACTAAAAATCTGATAACCCGGTGACCCGATTATCGGTTGAACCATCGGGTGAACGACTGAATTATTTTTATTTAGTTTCTTAGGTTTTTTAAATAATTTTTTATTTCAAACTGAGGTTTTTAAATACTTTATGAAATATTTTTGTATACAAAAAAGAAGAAATTAGATTTTTTTTTTTTTAATTTTCTCGTAAAATTATCAGTTGCGTGATATCACATATTGTTCTATATCTCCTTCAACTTTCTCTTAAAACTTTTCTTGACTTCATATACAGTGATAACATTTGTTTAACCTTTTAATTTTTAACCTTTATCTTTTTTTCTTGATTTTACATGTTTATAAATAATTAATATTTTTTTTTGTGAATCAAATTTATTGATCTTATTTAATTTTGGAAAATCGTATACAATATTGACAAAATAAATTATTGTGATATTTAGATATTGATGAACATTTTGTAATGACTCTAAAAAATATAGTGAATAATAGTAAATATCTAAAACTTATGAAATTTAAGTCTTGTTATGATATACTATATCTTTTAATTTCTACTTTTTACAAAAAGATGTTAAATAATTTAAATTAATTTTTAATATTTTATTTTTGAAATAAAAATGAAAATTATAAAAAAAAGAAATAAATTTAAATATTTTCTACAATTTTTAAGAAATGTGAAATTTCTCATATATTTTTAATAATAATTAATATATAACTACATATTAAAATTAAATAACGTATTGATCAATGATTCACCCGCGATTGATCCAGTAACTCAGTAATCTGGTAAGGTGTTAAGTTCATTGTCTGGTTTCGATCTCAGGGCATAGAACTCAGTCTTTTTGGAAAGTTCTCCGTATTATCCATATGACATTATGTCATTGTTGGTTTCGATCTCGGACATAGAACCATCCTCTAATTTACATGGCATCCTTACACTCATCATCATAGACATCGAGTTTAGAGGATTTGTCCATAATTTGTGTAGTGATTTCTCTTATTCATCTTATTTTTTTTAGTTTCAGGCTGGATTGTCATAGCATCATTTCTTTGAGTCCTCCTTTTGGTTTGATATCCTTTGTATGCAATTTTTCTTTTTTGTCAACGTATGGATTATAAGTTGACAAAAAAAGACATAAATTTCAAAATGAATTTTTGGTGTTGTGTTGGATTTTTTTTAAAAAAAAAAACATAACAGAATGATGAAATAAAAAAAAAATAAAAAGAAAATATAACAAAAAAAGAATTTGGTATATAAGAGCTGAATCTGTGTCAGACATAAAAGGTAGGTCACAAGTGGAACAAGAGAGCATCCTCGTTTCCTCCGCCTTCTTCCTCCTTCCTCCTCTCTCGATTCTTCTTCTTCACAAGAATGCCGCTCAAGCATTCTTCACCTGACACCATTTCCTCCTCCTCCTCTGACTCAGTCCGCCTCCTTTCCCGCGAAACTCTCCGCATCAGCGCCTCTCTCGCCTCCCCTCCCGATGATCTCCCTCCTCAACCTCTTCCCGATTCCCACTTTCTTCATCATTCATCTCTACGATTGATCTGCTGCGAGGAAATAGACGGCCGGAGATGGAAGTACGTCGCCGAGAGCGATGGTTCTGGCAAATTCAAGACCAATTCTTCCATTCGTGCTATCAGCTTGGAGTCTCCTCAGACTCCTTTTGATGTATGTATGCAATTTTTTTTTGACAAATTTGATTTTTTTTTTAAGCAAAATGTATCACACCTTTTTTAAAAAAACTTTTTACAGGATCTTGGTTCGTTTTTGAGATCTTATGTTGTACCTGAAGGATTCCCTGCAAGTGTTAATGACTCTTATGTTCCTTACATGACATTTCGAGCGTTGAAGGTATGATGTAATGTTTCGTCTTCATGTTTGGTCTTTTGCAATTGTTTTATTGATTTGATATTTTGTTGTAGCATTTCTTTGGTGGAGCCATGGGTGTGTTTACCACTCAAACCCTTCTCAATTCAGTTGGTGCCTCAAGGAACAGTTCTGCTTCTGCTGCTGTTGCTATCAATTGGATTCTCAAGGTTTCACCTTTTTTTTTTTTTTTTTTTGCAAACTCCCATGGCTTGCTTGCTCACTTACTGATAAATTTATATACATCTTTCAGGATGGTGCTGGGCGTGTTGGGAAAATGCTTTTTGCCCGTCAGGGAAAGAAATTTGATTATGATTTGAAACAGGTACTTACTTGTTCCAATTTAACTTAACATAGTACTATAAGAATCCTCTAAACTCCAGCTTTTGAATTTACAGTTACGGTTTGCTGGTGATCTTTTGATGGAGCTGGGTGCTGCTGTCGAGTTAGCTACTGCTGCTGTTCCACACCTTTTTCTTCCTCTCGCTTGTGCTGCTAATGTTGTTAAGGTATTGTCACTAACAACCGTAATCTCTGTGTGCTTTTTTTTTTTTTTTTTCTTTTTCCTTGTAGATGTTTAATATGTCATATTATTGTGTTCTGTTTTATCACAGAATGTTGCAGCAGTAACGTCAACGTCTACTCGTACCCCCATCTATAAAGCTTTTGCTAAAGGAGAGAACATTGGAGACGTCACTGCTAAGGGCGAGTGTGTTGGTAATATTGCAGATCTGGTATGACCCTTTTTAGAACTTGTTCTCTCTATTTCTTGACTGTTGTCTGTCAAGCTGAATAAATCATGGACTTATAGAGGCGACATTGCTACTTGTGGCCAGTGGGTCTCACAAAAGATCCTTATATATCGTATGTGCAGATGGGAACTGGGTTTAGTATATTGATATCCAAAAGAAATCCTTCGTTGGTTACAACCTTTGGTCTTCTTTCATGTGGCTATCTACTGAGCTCATACCAAGAGGTATAGTTGGGCTTCAAGTATATATCTGCTTTTTATTAATACCCTTTGGTCGTCGTTGCCGTTTTCCTGTTTTTTTTTTTGAAAACTTGGCTAGTTCCCTTCCAGGTTAGATCTGTGGTACTGCATACACTAAACTGTGCAAGATTTACAGTAGCAGTGGAATCCTTTATCAAGACGGGTAAGCGATGATGCTATTATAGCTTGCAGATGAGTGTTAGTCAATTTAAACTTTTCTAGGTTAGTCTCAGTCAAACTTGACAGACCTTTGCATCTATCTCCAGGTCGGGTTCCCTCACTACAGCAAGGTAATATCCAAGAAAAGATATTTACTTTTCCATGGGTGGAGGATCGACCGGTGATGCTGGGTATGTATTATGTAGCACTCTGTAGAAGCTATCTATATATCTTTTTTTTTTGTTCTGTTGACCTTACCAAAAAGATTTTCATACCATCATTTGGCAGGAGCCAGATTTAAGGATGCATTCCAAGACCCCGGCACATATCTGGCAGTAAAGCCTTTTTTCGATGTATGCCTACTGTATCAAATATAGAGCTTTGACCATTTTATCTACATATTTCACTCTATACTCTTTTTACTTATGGCAGAAAGAAAGATACATGGTAACTTACAGCCCTACCAAGGGTAAAGTCTATGCACTGCTCAAGGACCAGGCTAGCTCAGATGACATTCTCAAAGCGGCATTTCATGTGGGATGATTTTCCAATTCTTAAATTTCTCCATTCCACAGAAATGAATTAACTAAAGCTTAAAGTTTCTCATTCGGATGCATGATGATATAACAGGCACATGTGCTTCTTCATTTTATGAATCAATCAAAAAGTGGTACCTCAAAATCGATGGAGCAACTAGATCCTGCTTTTGCTCCAATGGAATATGAGCTGGAGTCTCGAATTGCTCAGTCGTGTGAAATGGTCTCTACCTCGTATGGAATCTTCAAAAGCAGTGCTGCAGAACAGGTAACTTGATAGAAATCTATTGTATAGTCTCAAGTTATTTGAGTAAGCATCACACTGAAGGAGCTGTGGGTTTTTCATTCTTGGTCCATGTTGCTAGGGATGGCGAATGTCAGAAGCTCTGCTAAATCCTGGCCGGGCTAGGTTATGTCATATGAATAAGGAGGAGTAAACAAGACATGGTGAAGCTGGTCTTTGTTATGATAACCTGAATCGGCTTCGATAATAGTTTCACGGCCCACTCTAAATTTTGTTGTCTTGGAAAAAACAGATTTTGCTGGTACACGTTTGATTAAACCATGCTGTAAAAATATAGAAGACATGTAGCATTTGTAAATTGTGGGTTGTAGATGGTGTATTTTAAGAGATGAAACTTCTTTGTGTACCACTTCTCACATAATCAATGCATATTCTTCATAAACATTGAATATAGTGGGAGTCGATTTCACCCTACTGTCAAATAAGTCGTAAATAAGGAAACTTCGGGAAAACTCTAAGTTTCCAGAGGAACCGGCTATCTGCGAGAACCGCACAACGAAAATAAGATGACGAAAATACTTAGAATTTATATGTGAATTAAACGAAAAAGAGAGCAAAGAGGTTCTTATTCCGAATCTGCGTTGAACTGGTACAAAAAGAATCGCCGAAAGCGTAAGAACTAGAAAACCCTAATTGAGACGCAGCTCGCTAGCAGAAAAACGGAAATATTCCTAAATGCTAATTTTGGTGGTGAGAGCTCTGAATTTCGTGTGTGTGCTTCTGCCCTAGACCTCCTCTTTATATACTCCTCGTCTTGGCTATCCGATCTTTCCATTTCGCCCAGATTTGACTTAAATCGGGAATTTTCCATTCTTCTCGATCCTTCCTTTTCTTCTGCAGAAATCTTCTATTTCTCTTCAAACCTTCCTTTTATGTTTAATTTGACTTTTATTTTATTTCTGCGAGTAAACCGTCAAAACGTTATCAAATCCGCGGGTTAGATTCCGTAAAAATCGCAAGATGGGTTTTTATTGCGGTTTAGGTCCTTCCGGGCCGTTTTGCGATAAAACCGTTTTCCGACTTTTTATGGGATCGTTTCCTGATTTGACGTCGTTTTAATAAATTTCTTGAGTTAATCGCGAAGTTTTACGATTTACTCGACTCTTTTATTAAAAACACGTTTTTCACGACTTACTCGGCGTTTTTTATTAAAAGCGCGTTTTTTACGATTTTAACGAGAAATCTCGAATAAATCGTATAGTTTAGGCAATGTTCGGTGTTTCGTTTAACCGTTGCCGTTTTATACGATTTCCTCGAGTTCTTTCCGA